AACAATAATTTAAATAACTTAGTTTGAGTCTGGAAACGGCTTTATTCATATATTTGGAAAGTTTAGAGATAAATATTTTTGTTAACAGTCTAATTTGAATTATATTGAGTTATATATTAGATATCAAAGCATTCGACGAAAAATATTTTTTTACATATTTTGGTTTCTTTGATTACTTGAGATGTATTTTATCAATAGTTTAAGAGCTTTCCGCGCCATAGGTAGCACCTAACTTCATATTAAATATTGTATCATGCAACAGTTTTGTCTTTTATGAAGTTGATTGATATCATTGATTTTGTAATCAAAAACAATAACAAGTATTTTTGTATGCAAATTATTTTGAAAAACGATGAATAGTACTGGAATTAAAAAGGCTTTTTCTGAACGTGTTAAGTTATCTTTCCCCAATTTTAATAAGATACTTTTCTTATATTTGTCAGATAGAGTAACCTCCCCCGAAAAATAAGAATTGTATTAGGGGCCGGAAAACACACTTATCCTTAATTATGAAGTGTATCTGATAGTGTAACCTCCCCTGAAGAAAACAAAAGGAAATCACTCTAACCTTTCATTATAAAGCCAGATACAGTAACCTCCCCTGAAGGAAAGAAAGGGAAATCACTCTAACCTTTCATTATTAATGCAGATAGAGTAACCTCTACAGAAGGAAACAAATGGAAATAACTCCAACTTTAAATTATTAAGCCAGAAAGAGTAACCTCCCCTGAAGAAAAGAAAGGGAAATCACTCTTATCTTTCATTAATAAGCCAGATGGAGTAACCTCCCGTGAGGAAAACCAAGGGAAATCACTCTAATATTCATTATTAAGTCAGATTAGAGTAACCTCCCTTTAGGAAAACAAAAGGGAATTCACTCTAATCTTTCAATTATTTAAGTCAGGTAGAGTAACCTCCCCTGAAGGAAAGCAAAGGGAAATCAACTCTAAACCTTATATTATTAATTTAAATAGAGTAACCTCCCTGAAGAAAACAAAGGGAAATCACACTCTAACCTAAAATTATTAATCCAGATAGAGTAACCTCCCCTAAAGAAAAAAAGGGAAATCACTCTAATCTTTCATTAATAAGCCAGATAGAGTAACCTCCCTGAAGAAAGCAAAGGAAAATCACTCTTACCTTTCATTAATAAGCCAGATAGAGTAACCTCCCTTAATTAAACAAAGGGAAATCACTCTAACCTAACCTCCCCTTCAAGGTTAATAAGCCAATTAGGAAATAACCTTAATAATAAGCCATTTCCCCTGAAGGAAAAGAGTAACCATATAGAGTAACCTCCCCTGGAAGAAAACAAAGGGAAATCACTCTTATATTATTAATTTAATAGAGTAACCTCCCCCTGAAGAAACAAAGGGAAATCACTCCTGAAGATAGAGTAACCTCCCCTGAAGGAAAGCAAAGGGAAACCTCCCTGAAGAGAAAGCAAAGGGAAATCACTCTAACCTTATATTATTAATCCCATATAGAGTAACCTCCCCTGAAAAAAACAAAGGGAAATCACTCTAACCTTATATTATTAATCCAGATAGAGTAACCTACCCTGAAAAAAAACAAAGGGAAATCACTCATCTTTTTATTAATAAGCCAGATAGAGTAACCTCCCCTGAAGGAAAGCAAAGGGAAATCACTCTAATCTTTCATTATTAAGTCAGGTAGAGTAACCTCCCCTGAAGGAAAGCAAAGGGAAATCACTCTAACCTTATATTATTAATCCATATAGAGTAACCTCCCTGAAAAAAACAAAGGGAAATCACTCTAACCTTATATTATTAATCCAGATAGAGTAACCTACCCTGAAAAAAAACAAAGGGAAATCACTCATCTTTTTATTAATAAGCCAGATAGAGTAACCTCCCCTGAAGGAAAGCAAAGGGAAATCACTCTAATCTTTCATTATTAAGTCAGGTAGAGTAACCTCCCCTGAAGGAAAGCAAAGGGAAATCACTCTAACCTTAAATTATTAATCCAGATAGAGTAACCTCCCCTAAAGAAAAACAAAGGGAAATCACTCTTACCTTTCATTAATAAGCCAGAAAGAGTAACCTCCCCTTAATTAAACAAAGGGAAATCACTCTAACCTTTCATTAATAAGCCTGATAGAGTAACCTCCCCTGAAGGAAAGCAAAGGGAAATCACTCTTATCTTTCATTAATAAGCCAGATAGAGTAACCTCCCCTGAAGGAAAGCAAAGGGAAATCACTCTTATCTTTCATTAATAAGCCAGATGGAGTAACCTCCCCTGAGGAAAACCAAGGGAAATCACTCTTATCTTTCATTATTAAGTCAGATAGAGTAACCTCCCTTTAGGAAACAAAGGGAAATCACTCTAATCTTTCATTATTAAGTCAGGTAGAGTAACCTCCCCTGAAGGAAAGCAAAGGGAAATCACTCTTACCTTATATTATTAATCCATATAGAGTAACCTCCCCTGAAGAAAACAAAGGGAAATCACTCTAACCTTATATTATTAATCCATAAAGAGTAACCTCCCCTGAAGTAAAGCAAAGGGAAATCACTCTAACCTTATATTATTAATCCATATAGAGTAACCTCCCCTGAAAAAAACAAAGGGAAATCACTCTTATCTTTTCATTAATAAGCCAGATAGAGTAACCTCCCCTGAAGGAAAGCAAAGGGAAATCACTCTAACCTTATATTATTAATCCATATAGAGTAACCTCCCCTGAAGAAAACAAAGGGAAATCACTCTAACCTTATATTATTAATCCATATAGAGTAACCTCCCCTGAAAAAACAAAGGGAAATCACTCTTATCTTTTCATTAATAAGCCAGATATAGTAACCTCCCCTGAAGGAAAGCAAAGGGAAATCACTCTAATCTTTCATTATTAAGTCAGATAGAGTAACCTCCCTTTAGGAAAACAAAGGGAAATCACTAATCTTTCATTATTAAGTCAGGTAGAGTAACCTCCCCTGAAGGAAAGCAAAGGGAAATCACTCTTATATTTCATTATTAATCCATATAGAGTAACCTCCCCTGAAGGAAACAAAGGGAAATCACTCTAACCTTAAATTATTAATCCAGATAGAGTAACATCCCCTAAAGAAAACAAAGGAAAATCACTCTAACCTTTCATTAATTAGCCTGATAGATTAACTTCCCCTGAAGGAAAGCAAAGGGAAATTACTGTAACCTTATATTCTTAATCCATAAAGAGTAACCTCCCCTGAAGAAAAGCAAAGGGAAATCACTTTAACCTTTCAATATTACGTCAGACAGAGTAACCCTCCTTTAGGAAAACAAAGGGAAATCACTCTTATCTTTCATTATTAAGTCAGGTAGAGTAACCTCACCTGATAAAAGGCAAAGAGAAATCACTCTAATCTTTCATTATTAAGTCAGACAGAGTAACCCTCCTTTATGAAAACAAAGGGAAATCACTCTTATCTTTCATTATTAAGTCAGGTATAGTAACCTCCCCTGAAGAAAAGCAAAGGGAAATCACTCTAACCTTAAATTATTAATCCAGGTAGAGTTACCTCCCCTGAAGGAAAGCAAAGGGAAATCACTCTAACCTTATATTATTAATCCATATAGAGCAACCTCCCCTGAAGAAAACAAAGGGAAATCACTCTTATCTTTCATTAATAAGCCAGATAGAGTAACCTCCCCTGAAGAAATAAAGGGAAATCACTCTAACCTTATATTATTAATCCATATAGAGTAACCTCCCCTGAAGAAAACAAAGGGAAATCACTCTTATCTTTCATTAATGAGCCAGATAGAGTAACCTCCCCTAAAGAAACAAAGGGAATCACGCTGGCCTTTCATTAATAAGCCTTATAGAATAACTTCCCCTGAAGGAAAGCAAAGGGAAATCACTCTAACCTTATATCATTAATCCATAAAGAGTAACCTCCCCTGAAGAAAACAAAGGGAAATAACACTTGCCTTTCATTAATAAGCCAGATAGAGTAACCTCCCCTGAAGATGACAAAGGGAAATCACTCTTATCTTTCATTAATAAGCCAGATAGAGCAACCTCCCCTGAAGAAAACAAAGGCAAATCACTCTAACCTTTCATAACTAAGTCAGATAAAGTAACCTCCCCTGAAGAAAACAAAGGGAAATCACCTTAAATAATTAAGCCAGATAGAGTAACCTCACCTGAAGAAAACAAAGGGAAATCAATCTAAACTTTCATTATTAAGCCATATAGAGTAACCTCCCTTAAAGAAAACAAAGGTAAATAACTGCAACCTTTCATTATTAAGTCAGAGTAACATGCCCTGAAGAAAACAAAGGGAAATCACTATAACCTTTCATTATTAAGCCAGATAGAGTAACCTCCCCTGAAGGAAAGAAAGGGAAATCACTTTACTAATTAAGTCAAATAGAGTAACTTCCCCTGAAGGAAAGAAAGGGAAATCACTTTACTCTTTCATAATTAAGTAAGATATAGTAACCTCCCCTGAAGAAAACAAAGGGAAATCACTCTAACCTTAAATTATTAATCCAGATAGAGTAACCTCAATGAATCTTTCCGGCGTTTACAGTTTAATGTAAATTGGCTAACTTGTTATCCAATCGCTACACTGAGATGATTGGCTGTTTTTATGGGGATGAGAAGGCGAATTTTTGGTGCCTGTCAGATCCTAATGCATAGCATTAATTAGGTGTTGGATTTTAATCAGATTGGTTCTTTGATACATACAGTATCAGAAATTAAACTTTTTTCCATAGCAATATCTCTACACATATCACTTTAACTAAGTCGGTAGGTATAGCCAGCAAATAGATTTACGCATTTCATCTATACAAATTACTATTGAGAATCAATCTTGCAACCAATGGTACACATAAAAATAAATGACATTCCGTATTATTATATATGCAGGTAAATAGCCTAAGTTACTAAGAATGTTGAAAATGTGTTGTAAGAAGATAGGAGCCTGGCATAATAAAACATAGCTATTCATATCATCTTTACAAAATAATTTCAAGAAACAAATAAAAACTGATTTTAAACTTTTATTCTTTTCTTAACCATAACAAACAATCAATTGTGCAATAAATGATTACGTTGCTTATTTCTTTTTCTATTCTGTCTCCTTTTTCTATTCTTCTGATTCTTCCACCACTCATTGTTATGTACCTGGTGATCTACATCAACTTCTTCTTCATTTGGCACATCAAACTGACCGCTTGATTGTAATTTAGCTATCTTCTGCATGGAGAATAAATCATCTGATCTTAGTCTATCATTCCTTACACTGGAAAACCTTTTTTCTGTTTCCTCCCACTTCTTTTCTTTACATGTTCTCCCATCTTTATCCTTGTCAATAGTCAAATCTATAAACTCTGTCCCTATCTGAAAACTAGGTTTCCTTTTCTTCCCTAAGGTACCAGAATTTCTATGTTTGGTTTCGCCCTTTGTGCTTAAATCAGTCTCGGCATCTGGAATAGAAAAGGGTGAGTTATTCAATCTGTTTCGATTTACCTCATTTTTGGAATGAGAATAATTGTTTGAAGAGTCCAATGTAACTTCTATAAAACACTGATCATTCTTCAACTGTTTTCCATCTGTTTCAAAATCATTAACGCTTCTTAAATTCCGTTTTATCTGAGACAAGTTTCTGTTATTTGAAAAACTCTTTGCCATACCTTTCTCACAAGACACCGTTTTCATTTTATCGCTTTTCCCAGAACTCTTACCACTTTTGAACATCTCATTATCACAAGTGTCCTTACTTTTTTCTAATCCTGTTATGGCTTTACCTTTATCCTGTGTTTTCTTTATTTTATCTTCCATTTTTCCCTTGCCACCCTTGTTCTTTTTCTTCTTCTTATTTGACTTTGGATTCTCGCTATTCCTCGTTGTCACCCCAGTCCTTTCATTACCGTCTCCCTTCCTTACATTCAACAATGTAAACTGCATCTTATCAAAGTTATTTCTCCCTGTATTAAGTCCAGGCTTCTTTTTGACAATATGTGCAAACTTGGATGGTTTTTTCTTGTCTTTGCCTCTAATAAAGTCATCTCTGTTGCTAGGACCGTCATCCATGTTATCTTTCCTTTCTTCATCACTGTTACCAAATATATGGTGGTTATTTGGCTTTAAATGGACTTTTCTGTTGACCAACCAACTATCACTTCTTGATTTTTTTAGTGGTCTTTCCTCAGCTTCATCTGTTAGTCTCACTATTCAAATTTAAAAAAAATTCTTCAATTATTACATAGTTATTCAATTAAATTAAAGGGACCCTACTGAGATTTTTCAACATCTGGAAGTATTTTTTCAAGATTTGTGTACCATTTGTATAGGTCTGTACCAAAAACTTGTGTATAGAATTTCAGATCATTGCTGTCCCTAGAATATTAATTCTTATCGTGCACAAATACCAAACATTTAAGTGTTAAAATGTGGTAGTGGTGTTTGTAGTTTTAAGCGTCCAGTTGATCTACATAAGAATTTTTGGTTTTTACGCTTTTGCACCAGAGTGGAGCTTGTTTAAAAACCAAAACAAGGGCAGGGCATGATAATGACAAAGTTCATGACAGTTTATGAACTTTTATCAGCAGGTTTAATTTCAGTGCAGAAGTTCGTAACTCTGTCATGCCGTGCCCTTGTTTTGGTTTTTAAACGAGCTGCATGGAAATGATTCCCAGTTTCAATGTAGTAACTCAAATGTATACCTTAATAACCAAGATGTCAGTTAGTAAATAAAAGTCCAATGACATAAAGTAGAACTAGATCTCTTTGATTGAAGTGATCTCAAACTTGATTCAAGTAAACTCAAAACCCTATCCAAGGGTGAAGGTCTTTGCAAGATACATTCCAACCAAATGTCAACATGTTGGTAAATAGTCAGTTTTTGATAAGAACATTTAAACTCAATCTTCTATCTAAATTTCTCTATTCTTTTAATAGACAAAATAAAATTCATTTTCTACTTGATATATGTGTAGATATCAATTAAATTGAAAGTATATAGAAAAGTAAATAATACAAATAAAGAAGATATATGGTTGAGCTTTATGGCAACATGTATTCTAGCTTCTATGAATGTATTCAGTAGATTCATTCCATTTAAGGCTATGGTTTTCTATTATAGTATAAAGCAATGTAACCTACTCTTGTAACTGAATTCCTTCATGGTCTGATATCTGCAGATAAAAGGTGTGTAGATAGTCAGGAACTTATTCATCCTGTCTTCTTCACATTCCTACAATATACAGCTGAATTTATTATAAGATTCCTATTATAAAGTAATATGGTAACATTCAAGTTTAACCCTAATTAGTCTTCTAGAGGCAAATCATTCTACCTATGTCACTATGTGACCAGTGCAGACAAAGATTAATGTTCACATTGACTGGCAACCCCTTAAGAAACAAGAATGTCGAAGGACACATATAGACCCTTTCATTTAAGACCGTATTTAAGTTGTCGCCCTTGGATGACGTCATTGGGGGATACGGTGGACAATGCCGATACGATTAAGTGCAGTAATAGAGGGATATAAAGATCTTAATCCTTTTTCTTTTAAGATTGGCAGATTGAAATTGCCAAAATTTTGTGTAATAGTATAAGATATTACATAAAAAGGATGGTGAAATGTATAAATATGTTTACTATATAATATGGTTAACGATTTGTTTTAATAGTAGACCATATTCCTGGGAAACTGATCATGATTACCATTTTCGTTTGATTCTTAATAATGAAAATTTTACCAGGCAGTTAAATCGTACTAACTTGCTAATACCAAAGATATAGATAATGTATCTATGTCTCTGCTAATATACTATACCCAAAAGATATTTTGAGTTTCAAAAATGTAAGGATTCTGTAGTTTCGAAAAACGGCTGCGTAATAATTAATTGCAAGATTTTGGTCTATTAAAATCATGAAAAAAAATTGATTTAAGACTAAGACTAAGAAAAGCAAACAATATAAATTCATGTAATTTCAAAAAAAAAATGTAAAGGCATAAAAAGTAAAAATTCTCTGAATGTACACGACTGTATACTATTTGTGTCGGCAAAAAAATGCACTCTCAAAAAATCGTACATCACACCAATATATTTAAGCTGGTAAAGTAATATTTTCAACTTGATACTTTTTAATTCATACTCTGCTTATCAAATATTTAAAAAAAATCACAAAAACAAAACAACAAAAAACAAGTTGTGAAACACGTTCACAGAAATTCGTTATTAAAAAAAATAACTGAATTATAATTTAACGTATTTTTGACTTGCCAGTTGGTAGGTAAGGCATGACCAGTCAAGTCCCTAGGATGATCCATAACAAAATTCGGACCATAAATATTTTGGCAACTAACAAAAGTGACGTAATCTGATGTAATGTTATAAGGCACCCTGGTGATTTATGATATAACAGCCAAGTGCCGCTTGTATATACAACATATGTGCCCTGTTAATTAATATGTTACGGCCCAGTGGCGCTTATATATACACATCTATTTATCTATAAAAATAAATAACTGGGAAAAGGTTTTTAAAGAATAGATTTTTAATATAAAAATTATCTTATTATCGTCTGTTGCGAATCTAAATTATAAAAGTCAATGCCACATGGTTTTCGTTCTTTCCGGAATATTTGTAAAATTATATCCTTCACTGGTTCTTTGAAATATTTTTTATACAGCATAATGAAAAAGAATCAGTAAGTATTGACATAAAACATTCTGTTATTGTCCTATTAAAGCTTGAAAAACAATCATTAAAATACATTGGCAATCTTTTTTTTCAGGTTTTGTAACAAATACGCCGGAATTTTCTAAATGACAGAAAATAACGCAGAAAACTAGAAAATGGCCATTTAAATTTATAATAAGCAATTTCAGTGTGTATGGGTGTTTATAAAATATTAAAATTTGATTTAGTTACTAGCTTTTTATCATGGCATTTGAGAAAATCTAGATCTAATAAATATATTCACTGTGAAATTTCGCTGTTTCACTCCGTAGCGACACGGATTTACGTGGTATTTTTTCTATTTTCTTGATATTGAATTTATGTATGCATTCGTAAATTTTTTCATGTTATAATCATAATTGAACGTTCAGTTTTTTCGCATTTAACTTTTCAATAAGCTAACTTTCTATGCGGCATGCATAGTTTTATCCCCCATTTATGTCACATCCGGTAAGGGAAGTAACTCTTCACTGACTGTTATCGCTTAAATGAAAGGGTCTATACCCCCCTTTCTAGCCATTGACTCACATAATTGGTAATTTTATTACAGAAACTTGCCAAAAATGGGTACATGGAAGTGTTCAATTATGGAAAAATCAACAGAAACCATTTTGACATTTAAGGCCCATGTGACATTGACCTTTGACCTAATGACCCCTAAATCAATAGGAGTCATCTACTACTTATGACCAATAACTAAGTGAAATATGAAGACTTTGTGATGAATACTTTTCAAGATAATCAGCGGAAACCCTTTTGACATTTAAGGCCCCTGTGACCTTGACCTTTGACCTAGTGACCCCAAAATCAAAAGGGTCATCTACTAGTTATGGCAAATCACTATGTGAAATATGAAGACTTTGTGATGAATACTTTTCAAGATAATCAGCGGAAACCATTTTGACATTCAAGGCCCCTATGACCTTGACCTTTGACCTAGTGACCCCAAAATCAAAAGGGGTCATCTACTAGTGATGACCAATCACTATGCGAAATATCAAGACTTTGTGATACATACTTTTCAAGATAATCAGCGGAAACCATTTTGACATTTTAAGGTCCCTGTGACATTGACCTTTGACCTAGTGACCCCAAAATCAATAGGGGACATCTACTAGTGATGACCAATCAATGTGTGAAATATGGAGACTTTGTGATAAATACTTTTCAAGATAATCAGTGGAAACCATTTTGACATTTTAAGGTCCCTGTGATCTTGACCTTTGACCTAGTGACCCCAAAATCAATAGGGGTCATCTACTAGTGATGATCAATCACTATGTGAAATATAAAGACTTTGAGATACATACTTTTCAAGATAATCAGCGGAAACCATTTTGACATTTAAGGCCCCTGTGACCTTGACCTTTGACCTAGTGACCCCAAAATCAATAGGGGTCATCTACTAGTGATGACCAATCACTATGTGAAATATTAAGACTTTGTGATACATACTTTTCAAGATAATCAGCGGAAACCATTTTGACATTTAAGGCCCCTGTGACCTTGACCTTTGACCTAGTGTCCCCAAAATCAATAGGGGTCATCTACTAGTGATGACCAATCACTATGTGAAATATGAAGACTTTGTGATACATACTTTTCAAGATAATCAGCGGAAACCATTTTGACATTTTAAGGTCCCTGTGACATTGACCTTTAACCTAGTGACCCCAAAATCAATAGGGGACATCTACTAGTGATGACCAATCAATGTGTGAAATATGGAGACTTTGTGATAAGTACTTTTCAAGATAATCAGTGGAAACCATTTTGACATTTTAAGGTCCCTGTGATCTTGACCTTTGACCTAGTGACCCCAAAATCAATAGGGGTCATCTACTAGTGATGATCAATCACTATGTAAAATATAAAGACTTTGAGATACATACTTTTCAAGATAATCAGCGGAAACCATTTTTGACATTTAAGGCCCCTGTGACCTTGACCTTTGACCTAGTGACCCCAAAATCAATAGGGGGTCATCTACTAGTGATGACCAATCACTATGTGAAATATTAAGACTTTGTGATACATACTTTTCAAGATAATCAGCGGAAACCATTTTGACATTTAAGGCCCCTGTGACCTTGACCTTTGACCTAGTGTCCCCAAAATCAATAGGGGTCATCTACTAGTGATGACCAATCACTATGTGAAATATGAAGACTTTGTGATACATACTTTTCAAGATAATCAGCGGAAACTATTTTGACATTTAAGGCCCCTGTGACCTTGACCTTTGACCTAGTGACCCCAAAATCAATAGGGGTCATCTACTAGTTATGACCAATCACTGTGTGAAATATGAAGACTTTTTGATACATACTTTTCAAGATAATCAGCGGAAACCATTTTGATATTTAAGGTCCCTGTGACCTTGACCTTTGACCTAGTGACCCCAAAATCAATAGGGGTCATCTACTAGTTATGACCAATCACTATGTGAAATATGAAGACTTTGTGAAAAATACTTTTCAAGATAATCAGCGGAAACCATGTGGTCTACTGACGGACAGACCGACAGACAGACAGACCGACATTAGCAAAACAATATACCCCCTCTTCTTCGAAGGGGGGCATAATAATAAGAAGTGTACCATATAAGCATGAAGAAAAAATCTTTGCAAAAAAATTTCAAGTTAAAAAGCAGGAATAATTCCTAAGGTATACCAGGTATGTATCAAATAATATACCTTGAACGATAAACAGGAACACTTATTGGAACACTTGTTTAATGTTTCCAGTTATAGAAACTAAAGCTGTCAGTAGGACAGTTTGCTTGACTATGCTCAGTTGCTTGATGATAGTAAAACAAGAGCCTGGATAATGTAGAATTTTCTAAGTTTAAAAAGGGCCATAATTCTGTAAAACAAGAGGGCCATGATGGCCCTAGATTGCTCACCTGACCCATCAAACTCATCCAAACAATTACCTAGACAAGCATTCTGACCAAGTCTCATGACTGGTGAGTCAAAAATGATTATCCATATTTGAGCAGTGTGACCTAGTTTTTTACCCAGGTGACACCTATTCAAACTTGACCTAGAAATCATCAAAACAAACTTTCAGACCAATTTCCAGGATACTTGGATCAAAACAGTAGCAACTAGAGTGTTAACAAGATTTTTCTATTTTTAGCTCCGGTGACCTAGTTTCACATGCGATTTCGAACTCATCCGAGCAATAACATAGACAAGCATCCTGACCAAGTTTGATGATAACTGAGTCGACAATGTGACCATTAGAATGTTAACAAGGTTTTTCCATTTTTTGGGCGGTGTGACCTAGTTTTTCATCCAAGATGACCCATGTTCGAACTTGACTTAGAAATCATCAAAACAAACTTTCAGACCAATTAACAGAATATTTGGATCACAACAGTAGCCACTAGAGTGTTAACAAGATTTTTCTATTTTTAGCTCCTGTGACCTAGTTTTTCATCCAAGATGTTCCATGTTCGATTTAATCCCAGCAATGACCTAGACAAGTTTCCTGACCAAGTTTGATGACAATTGAGTCAAAATTGTGACCACTAGAGTGTTAACAAAGTTTCTCTATTTTTAGCTCCTGTGACCTAGTTTTTCATCCGAGATGACCCATATTCAAACTCATCCGAGCAAGTACCTAGACAAGCATCCTGATCAAGTTTGATGACACTTGTGTCAAAAATGTGACCGCTAGAGTGTTAACAAGGTTTTTCTATTTTTAGCTCTTGTGACCTACTTTTTCATCCGAGATGACCCATGTTCAAACTCATCCGAGCTTTCACCTAGACAAGCATCCTGACCAAGTCTGATGATGATTGAGGCAAAGATGTGACCGCTGGAGTGTTAACAAGGTTTTTCTATTTTTAGCTCCGGTGACCTAGTTTTTCATCCAGGATGACCCATGTTCAAACTCATTCAAGCTATTACCTAGACAAGCATCCTGACCAAGTTTGATGATGATTGATGCAAAAATGTGACCGCTAGAGTGTTAACAAGATTTTTCTATTTTTAGCTCCGGTGACCTACTTTTTGATCCGAGATGACCAATGTTCGAACTCATTTGAGCTATCAACTAGATAAGCATCCTGACCAAGTTTGATGATCATTGAGGCAAAAATGTGACCGCTGGAGTGTTAACAAGGTTTTTCTATTTTTAGCTCCGGTGACCTAGTTTTTCATCCGAGATGACCCATGTTTGAACTCATCCAAGCTATCACCTAGACAAGCATCTTGACCAAGTTTGATGATGATTGATGCAAAAATGTGACCGCTGGAGTGTTAACTAGGTTTTTCTATTTTTAGCTCCGGTGACCTACTTTTTCATCTGAGATGACCCATGTTGGAACTCATCCAAGCTATCACCTAGACAAACATCCTGACCAAGTTTGGTGATGATTGAGGCAAAATTGTGACCTCTAGAGTGTTAACAAGGTTTTTCTATTTTTAGCTCTTGTGACCTAGTTTCTCATCCGAGATGACCCATGTTCGAACTCATCCGAGCTATCAACTAGATAAGCATCCTGACCAAGTTTGATGATCATTGAGGCAAAAATGTGACCGCTGGAGTGTTAACAAGGTTTTTCTATTTTTAGCCCTGGTGACCTAGTTTTTCATCCGAGATGACCCATGTTGGAACTCATCTGAGCTATCACCTAGACAAGCATCCTGACCAAGTTTGATGATGATTGATGCAAAAATGTGACCGCTAGAGTGTTAACAAGGTTTTTCTATTTTTAGCTCCGGTGACCTACTTTTTCATCCGAGATGACCCATGTTCGAACTCATCCGAGCTATCACCTAGACAAACATCCTATTCAAGTTTGATGATGATTGAGGCAAAAATGTGACCTCTAGAGTGTTAACAAGGTTTTTCTATTTTTAGCTCTTGTGACCTAGTTTCTCATCAGAGATGACCCATGTTCGAACTCATCCGAGCTATCAACTAGATAAGCATCCTGACCAAGTTTGATGATGATTGAGGCAAAAATGCGACCGCTAGAGTGTTAACAACAAAATGTGAACGAACGACGGACAATCATCGATCCTAAAAGCTCACCCTGAGCATGCTCAGGTGAGCTAAAAACATGTTACAGTTACAGGCCTTAGAAAGTGACCTCCTAGTGTGCTTCCAAATACAATGTAAGTGTGTGAATATACAACCCATTCCCTTTAGTTGTTAAGGAGAAACCAACTTATATGTAAAAACTTAACCAAAGTGTGACGCCAATGCCAGGTGAGTACACTAGCTCTCCCTATTCTTCCAATAGTCAGGCTGAAATGGCACAATTATTAAAAGTTTACAGTTAAAGAAAAGACAGAGTAGAAATACTAGTGTTTTATTCTATGTTAATAAGGAGTAGAGTTCTTTCAATTGGGGTTCTAAAGTATGATGCTGCTTATGATCAAGAGGCAATTAATAAAGATAGAACTAGAAATGTGTCCATAGGACACGGATGCCCCCACACGCCACTGTTCTGTCAATCTTATGACTCTAGGTCAAATATTTTTTGGACTACATGTGCCACAAGTTGAAAACTAAAAATCAACAAAGGGCCATAATTCTGTTAAATTTGGTCGCAGCAAAAATTCCTTTCTTTACTACCATCTACACATTAAGATTGTTCATCCCTAGAAGTTTAAGCAAAATCTGCCATCCGGTTTAAGAGGAGTTGCATTCACAAAATTTCTACATAGTATCTAGTGAAAAAATCAACAAAGGGCCATAATTCTGTAAAATTTGGTCGCAGCAAAAATTCCTTCCTTTACTACCATCTAAACCTGAAAGTTGTTCATCCCTGTAAGTTTAAGCAAAATCTGCCATCCGGTTTAAGAGGAGTTGCGTTCACAAAATTTCTACATAGTATATAGTGTAAAAATCAACAAAGGGCTATAATTCTGTTAAATTTGGTTGCTGCAAAAATTCCTTCCTTTACTACCATCTACACATGAAGGTTGTTCATCCCTGTAAGTTTAAGCAAAATCTGCCATCCGGTTTAAGAGGAGATGCGTTCACAAAATTTCTACATAGTATATAGTGAAAAAATCAACAAAGGGCCATAATTCTGTTAAATTTGGTCGCAGCAAAATTTCCTTCCTTTACTGCCATCTACACATTAAGGTTGTTCATCCCTGTAAGTTTAAGCAAAATCTGCCATCCGGTTTAAGAGGAGTTGCGTTCACAAAATTTCTACATAGCACCTAGTGAAAAAATCAACAAAGGGCCATAATTCTGTTAAATTTGGTCGCAGCAAAAATTCCTTCCTTTACTACCATCTACACATTAAGGTTGTTCATCCCTGTAAGTTTAAGCAAAATCTGCCATCCGGTTTAAGAGGAGTTGCGTTCACAAGATTTTGGGACGTACGGACTGACTGACGGACGGACGGACTGACGGATGGACGGACGGACAAGTGCAACGCTATATGCTCCCACATTGTGGGGGCATAAAAAGTAAAAACATACATGTCCTAAATGTCCCTCTTCTCCACAGTTAAAACAAGATGGTGTTTTCCTTAAAGTTTGTACTGCCGGCTGTTGAATTTTATCTGGATTTACCTAAAAAAAACACAAACAATTGCATCAATTCCACAGTATATAAACGATTTGAACCCCAACCAGATCTTGTGAGAAGATCTCAGCATCTAAACGTACACTCAGGCGAGATGACACATAAAACTATCAAAAATCGGCTTGAATTTAATATGTTACGGTATGTTAACATTTGAATCATATAAAGAAATAATTTATCTTTGCTTAAATATACATCCATAACCTTCTTCGTAAAATATATGCGCATAAAACGCTGAGCTCTTCGCCTCATGTTTTTTTTATGCCAACACACGCCGATTACACATGCAAATGTATGCCTAAAATTGTTTTATTTCACTATAACTCATATCTGAATCTTAACTTTATTGTCTTAACCTCATGTTACCGGACAGACACTTGTGAAAATATCTTTGAATATTGATAAAACATAGTAAATAATAGAGGCGACATTTCTGATAACTGTACCCGTCTTGCTAAAACAATTTTAATGATCTGTACCCTACTTGTGTTTTCACTGAACCATTACTTGCGAGTCACTTTTGATGATTTTTATTGTGTTTTTGTCGTATGTTCCAAATTTTAATGTGCAGAATATGAAGTATATTGTGTCACAAGAGAAGAGTACATGTTTTAGTTCTATGTAAGTAACTAAAACTGCATATGACTGGGGGAGCTTCGTCATGTTTTCACTGTCTACGAAAATACTGGCATGAAGTGGCTGTTTATACGAATCAGAAAGTCAATTATTTCTTGATAGGAATAATTAACTTTCAAACCTCATCTTCACTTACCATTCATTTTTCTTTGGAAAGATATAAAGCTAAAATATTACATATGTACTATAATTTTTTTATATTTAGTTCAACGGCATTGTTGTTAGTTTTGACGTGACCGTTACATAACGTCACGTATCAATAAACCCCGAAATATCATTACACGATTTTTTTGCAGATTACTTATTTCAACATGTTGAAAGCTTAACACCTACCGTTGATTTCATACACTGTTTTATATTCTCAGAAATTCATTGACTTTCTTTTTCTGACATGTACGACTTTTATTCTTGTATATCTTTCAAAGACGTCGACAATTTTGGCATCTTTTTAAACGGAGAATATTCGGGAAATTTTGAAATTTTAATTGTCAGTGTTTCAGCTATTGGTGTTATAAACTTCTTTTTTTTCGTTTACGTTATTGGTTGTGACGCTGAAATTTTTTAAGTAGGAAATTTTATTCTGATCATTATTTAATATTTATTCTTATTTTCAAGTTGCAGTCTGGATGGCGAATAATTATGTGGCTAATGATGGCATTGAAATTCGTAGTCTTTACTCAACAGTATATGCAGTTGTATTCTTTCATGGAGATCCGAAATAAAAATATACATAACATTATATATTTACACAAATGATTAACAATAGTATCAGTAAAACCAATTCTCGGTAAATACCTTAGATCCCACCTTATATACTAAAATTCGATTACAATCATTTATATTTTCTTGCAATAATTGATACAAAATCGCAATAAACGAAAACGTTTTTTCCAACAAATCTTTTAAAAAAACTCACAAGTCAGGGTACAGATAAAATTCGTAAACTCACAAGTAGGGTTCATAATCACCAGCAAATAACGTTCAGTTTACGGAAATGACCTTCCTGGTAAAACTCTTAAATTTATGTTCAAGGTACAGCAATATGTTATGCATATGACTAAATTATCGTTTGTTATTGATTACTTTAGTAGTTCGATATCACAATTCAATGTTTAACTAAATCAACATTGGAATAAGACGGATTTTTGTTCGTGTTCAGTGTTAATCACCTGAAAGCTGTTTGTGAGTTTCGGTTATTTTATAGCCTTCGTGCTAACGTTTATGTTTTGCATAACTTAGACGTTTAATAAAGTTTCTCTCTTATAATATAAATATAGATTTACTAACCTAACGTCCATCAGTATCAATATAAATACCAATATCGTAAACAAGTGAAGTGGCAGAATATGGCTGACACTAAAATCTTCTCACAAGATCCGGTTGGGGTTCAAATCGTTTATATACTGTGAATTCATCGTTACACAAAAAAAGAGGTTTAAACTTAACTTCACAACACAGTAATATTCAAGGGTATAAATCTATATCTTATGAAACATTTTTATTCAATTTATAAACAGTAAAATCATGCTTTTTCCATAATATGTTCAATTTTCGAAAGAATGGAACATAGAATGTCTCTGGTTATTTTCATTAATTTATTATTGGTTCTTTGTCCATTGAAAATGACAGCATGCATGGGATCAGCATATAAACATTAATAGTATACATGTATGCTGGATTGTTCACTATGTCAAAGGGGAAACAAAATAACAGACAAAATTTTGAGCCGCGTCACAACAAAACCAACATAGTGCATTTGCGACCAGCATGGATCCAGACCAGCGCAGTCTGATCAGGATCCATGCTGTTCGCTATCAGTTTCTCTACTTGTAATAGGGTTGGTAAGCGAACAGCATGGATCCTGATAAGACTGCGCAGATGTGCAGGCTGGTCTGGATCCATGCTGGTCGTAAACCCATTATGTTCTTTTTGTCATGGCACGGCTCAAATGATAATACAATGTATATGTAGAATACTAACCGTGACATGAAACTGTCTCCAACTATCAGGACATCTCTGCAACAGAAATTAGCACATATCATTTAGTCCATAAAATTGGCATAAATGGCAATAATAACTTGCATAAACACTGTAAAGCAATATTTGATAAATCTTATTTAAATCTACTGTGTCAAAATTGCCTCAAAGCAATATGTAATTTTTAATAGGTAACATCTTTTGGACAGGGTAGAGGTCTAGTGGCCTAGTGGTTAAGGTTATTGTCTTAGAACCATTTGCTCCTCTTTGATTTGGATTCAAAGCCAGGCCCACCTAGAACCTAGAATTCTTTCATATGGAGAAGCTACCCAGCTAGCTTACTGAAGCTAGGTGATTCTTTCCCTGAAATTATAAACGAAGGATACCCGAGGTATTCCTTCCTTTTATGACATTAAATTCCATGTAAAAAATTTTTCCTGACATTTCTCTAGGAACAAGCAGATTATAGCAACTCAAGAATATCCCCCAGTAGAATAACTGTTAATCTTTAAAGAAAATAATGAGCCGCGTCATGACAAAACCAACATAGTGCGTTTGCGACCAGCATGGATCCAGACCAGCCTGCGCATCGGGAATAGCGCAGGCTGATCAGGATCCATGCTGTTCGCTTTCAGTTTCTCTACATGTTATAGGGTCTGTAAGCGAACATCATGGATCCTGATCAGACTGCCGGGATGCGCAGGCTGGTCTGGATCTATGCTGGTCGCAAACCCATTATGTTAGTTTTATCGTGATGCGGCTCAAATGTTGAAGATGATGCAGCTCCATTGGTTTTTTTTTCATATACAGTATACAAGTTTGATGTTAAGCTCATAACCAATACAATTATTTCATAAGCAAAATTAAAGTTAAGTCATCCAAACATTTTATATATGCTGCCTTTGGGGCAGATTACACTAATGGGGCATAAAAATCTCCTATAGCTCAAACTAAGTAATTCTGCATTAGTAGTGAATTTATATACATGTACATATATTGTTCCAAATGAAGTCATACTAAAACCCATTTTTAATAAAAGCAGTACACTTTTCCTGTAAACTCAATATATATAATACCAAGCAATTTTAACAAATTGCTCTGGAACTGCAAAATTTATCATTACCATGCTAAATATCTGAAATAGACTTGAAAAGCTGTCCATCTTTCAATCTGGACAAAACAATTCAAACATTTTTAGGGAAATTTTCAAAATAAAAACTGACTTAATAGAGAACAGTGCAGACCATGGTGAGACGCCACAGACATGCTTGCTGTTCTTGGTCTGCACTAGTTGCATGAGAGGATTCAACACCCATTGGCAGACTGAATTTATAACTTGAAATGTGTCCATAGGGCACAGATGCCCCCATACTTCACTGTTTTTGTCAATCTTATGACTAGGTCAAATATTTTTTGGGCTACATGTGCGACAAGTTAAAAACTAAAAATCTTTTACTAAGAAAAGGGCAAGAACTTTACAAATACTGAATAAATCCACAAGCAAACCCCAAGGTGCATTAGTACATGTGCTGAGTAACATTTCTGTAAAGTTTCATGACTCTAGGTCAAATACTTTTTGAGTATGTGCGACACAAAACGATATCTAACAGATGGAAGAATACAAAGGTAAATTTAAATGCCCCCCTAAAGTTGGGGCACAATAAAATACATTATAAAATGTTGATAAACTTTTACTTACAGACTGATCATGACCTCTCATATTACATCTAAAGCATGTATATTGAAAGCTTCTTCGAGGGTAAGTGCATTGCTTAGAATCATGTCCTGGCTCCTGGCAATTAAAGCACATGGACTGAGGGCAGGTCCTGCTCATATGTCCCGGTTCCGAACACATTATACAAACTGTCACTTTCTGTAAGTCATTGGAGAAAAATATAGTATTCAGAAATAAAACTATTGTATGTTACAAAAATATTCAAACACTCTTTTTAATAAAGTATGAAACTTTGCAACATTTATTATCAGAAATATTCAAATGTGGTCAATCATATTCATTATTCATTTACAAACATTATTTGTGTTTTCTCTTTGTGAAGTGAAAAATCTTAGATTCATTATATAAGGCAGAATAAAATCTAGAAAAAAATACATACAATAATTATAGTCTTAATTTCAAATTCCAGCATAAAGGTATTGTCTTTTTAACCCTTTCCCAGCTGAATAATGAACATGTCCCAGTTTGATTTATTATCAATTTTGAAGACACCAAAATGAAAGCTTGAAGTTAGTCTGCCAATAGTACTGGAGGCAAAGTCTAAACAATTTTTGTTTCTGCAGGTAACAATTAATTAATATGACAAAGGAATTACTGAATTCTAAAACATGTCTTGTACCTTTGGCTGTGGGCAGTTCTTGGAAAGATGTCCCTCTTTATCACAATTGTGGCATTTTATAGGTTTGTAATATCTTCCACGTCCCTTTGTAGCCGATATAAGATCTCTATAGCTATCTTCTCTACATATTGCCCAGTGACTCTCATCTAAAAATAGATACAAGAGCGATCAGTAATCACATGTGTCGCATCATGATGGCCAATTTCATGTTGGGACAAAGTTTGTGACAGACGGACAGACAGACGGACAGTGCACAACTAGACTTGGTACTGATCATTCCTGTAAAGTTTGGATAAAATTGCAGCAGTAGTTTATGAGGAGTAGTCCGGACAAGCTTTGGCGTATCTGGCAACACACAGAAAAAACACCTTTTTATCAAAGGGCCATAACTTGGCCAAAAATCATTCAACCGGAAAACCCGTGCAATATGCGCAAGGACTTGAGCTACAGATCAATCCTGTAAAGTTTCATTGAAATTGCTTTAGTGGTATAAGAGAAGTAGTCCGGACAAACTTTAAAAATAAAAATTATTAAAGGGCCATAACTCTGACAAAAATCATTGAACCGGAAAATGCTGATTATATGCACAACTACCCTTGGTACTGATCATTCCTGTCAAGTTTAGATGAAATTGCACCAGTAGTTTATGAGGAGTAGTCCGGACAAGCTTTTGTGTATCTGGCAACACACAGAAAAATACACCTTTTTTATCAAAGGGCCATAACTCAGCCAAAAATCATTCAACCGGAAAACCCTTGCAATATGCGCAAGGACTTGAGCTACAGATCAATCCTGTAAAGTTTCATTGAAATTGCTTTAGTGGTATAAGAGAAGTAGTCCGGACAAACTTTAAAATTAAAAATTATTAAAGGGCCATAACTCTGCCAAAAATCATTGAACCGGAAAATGCTGACAATATGCACAACTAGACTTGGTACTGATCATTCCTGTAAAGTTTGGATGAAATTGCACCAGTAGTTTATGAGGAGTAGTCCGGACAAGTTTTGTGACGGACAGACGGACAGACAGACGACGGAGAAGTGATCCCTATATGTCGCCACTACTCCGTAGAGGCGACACAATAACTATCTGCTTACATCCCAATCATACACATAACAGTTTAAATAGCATTATCCTTTTTGGGTACTTAAATTTTACACATTAAATGAAGATATTTTTAAATGTCTGGTACATGGTAAATATGAAGTTTTAAATCTTGCACTGCTAAATTTGCATAATGGACTTGCCCTGCTTTGGATTAAGAACAGTCCATTGTTATTCTTTTTTTATCTTTTATTTTTATTTCTTTTATTACAGTCCATTGTTATTCTAAGGAATTGCAGTATCAAAATAATAAAATTGAGCATATACAGAATATACATGTAGCAACCTAGTCAGACTGCACAGATGTAAGTTACATACTGGCCTTGGTCTTTAATGGTGACATAGTTAAGTAATAACCTTAGCTAGCATTCAATGTTTTTCTAAGTTTACAAACTCTAAAACATGTAATTAAAATGTAACATAAACTCGAGACTATACCCTACCATCATTATTTTTCTCTTCTTTATCAGGAATAGCATCTTCATGTGATAGCTTTCTATATGTATACCTCATGTTTGACCTTGGACTTGACCTGACGTTTGTTTGTATATCATCCAGTCTCTCTTCAGGTTCACCTAAAACAATATCTAAACTGTCTGCTTCACTGCCTGATAAAACCATATCACTACTTTGACTGTCAGATAAATATATCGTCTCAACAACATCCTCTTTATCCTCATCCTCACTGACTACAATCATGTCTTTTTCCTCATCAACGTCAGAATTGGTTTCAAGAATTAACTTTTCCGCTGTAAGTGTTTTTCTATCTCTTCCAGATTTGTTTTGTGGCAAAGTTTTTGCTGACTTTTTTGTCCCCTTGTTACTTGAGGTAGAATTGCTAAGAGATTGTTTATGACTTTGTTTTGAAAAGGAGCTACCATTGGAATTACCATCTTTTGAATTGCCATTAACTGCTTTATTATTCTTTCTTTTAGCAACATCATTTTTAAAGTTTACATGGCTATACTTTTCTTCAAGAGCTTCGTTTAAAATAATATCTGCATTACATTCACTGGCAACAAATCCTTTCTTTTCATTGCCTTGAACAGTAAAAATAAAGTCCTTTTCAACCGTATCATCTTCACAGTAAAAAATGTCATGTTCTTTATTCAAGGAAGGATTTTCACTATTTTGCTCAAAATGTATTTTGGAATATAAAGCTATTTCAAGCTGTTCTTGCTCATAATCATCAGAACTGTTTTCCCCAGAAACCTCACCATATACCTCATCCATGTTATTATCTACAAAAAAAAACTATCATAAATTCAAATGAAATCATACTGTGACATACATGTAATATTATACACAAAAAAGTTTTGATACACTTTATTTCCCATTGCATGTAATCTTCTTCAGCCGGAAAGAAATGTAAATTAAATAATAAAAGTTGACAAATAGCCTATAGCACTTTGAATGGAATTTTACAGACTTATGTACTGGGTTGTAAAAAAACCCTGTTCTTGGTGACAACTTCTGGATTTTAACTATGGAAGCAGGGCCCTTTATCCAATTAAGGGGAAGTAGGTTGCTACCCTCAGCTGGGGGAATTTCAGTGGATGGGGGAATTTTTTTCATTTCCTTTTTAGACAAAAATCAATAAACTACCAATATACAAAAATCAATGTTTTTTTAGATATGAATTGCTATTGTGAAACATTTCCAGGAAGAAAGTCTTCCCGGTGCATCCATACAAAATATCCATGTGAAACGGAAAAAGGTGCAGACATACAATATTCTGCTGACAAAAACGCTGTGAAACAGAACAATTTTAATTGTCAATCAAAGGGCTGCAACCTCTGTGGTATTTTCTGATCTTTGCAATCTAAATCATACTGACTATCTGTATGTATTTTCCTGTATAAGTTTATTTTTATATACTATAATTAATCTTACGCAACGACTGCGTCTATAACAGTTTGAGATTGATACATAAGGAATTTTGCATGACTAGAGTTGCATCAAAAAATGACAGCCACACTTTATCCTTGCATATCGTGGCTACTTCCTTAAAAAAGACACACAAAAAAAAGTTGCCTCGACTAGGATTTGAACCTTTGGCCTCTCACACCCTAAACGAGCGCGCTACCTCTGCACCACGGTGAAGTATTACATATGTAGCTTGAATAAAAACAAATACATTGTAATTCTAATTTGAGAATTTCCATTTTGTGTTTGTAATCCTTACTAATTTCGAGGTATTTTGTTCACGATAAACCTGTTGTTTAACACTGATGAAAATAATTTAGCGAAAATCTTCTCGACAAAACAGTACGACATGTATATATTTCACTACTCGACAGTCAGATTTATTTGTGTACTACGCTCTGGAGTATTCGGTTATCGACATAGCTAAAAATAGCATTTTCATTGATTAAGCTTTACGGAAATAGCCGAACATTTTTCATTGGGTAAAAAAGATATTCATCAGCGAAATTTGTGATTGTAACCTCATATTTCTATTGACTACTCTAAACGTTTAATGCACTGTAATTCGTTAAATGCCTACATTAAAAATTATTCTTTCTTTTAAATTGCTGGTTTTTAAGCAGTTCTGAGTGAGAACTACTTTGCGTTGTTAGGTCTGTAAGGAAATTTTATGTTAGACCATGGATGTTAGCTATGTATTTACTGATCTTGCGATCAGAAAATACAAAAACAGCATAACTTTATAATTTTTCGATCAATTTTATATGTTTTTGGAAATTTTACCTCGGTTAGGAGAGAAAAAAACATACTATTTTGGTTGGGTACTGCAACTGTGAATATTGACCACAGATTTGGTAGATCAAGGGCCCTGGGATAAGTCATAAACAGACTAAAGGAAAAAACTCTATCTGATATCTATTCTGTACATGTATCTGTTCATGAATGTAGGACAACCACAGCTGAGGGATGGGCTATATCCTAGAATAAACCTCGGGGTCTAAACCGGTAAGGGTCATTTCGTTTTATTTAGTATACTATTATACAATGTTTAGTTGGCACTTACAAACTTGCTTGCATGATTTCAGTCGGCCATATTCCCTAGCCACGAATGATAACTCATGTTTCCCTGTCTAAAACTCCGCCAATTTATTCCCCTTTTAAATGAACACAAAGAAGGGACCTTTTCTAAAGACTTTGTATTTATTAATTTGATTTTGTCAAGAAACTGAGATTTTTTCAATAACCTTATATAATTTATTTTCTATCTATTTATGGTTGCTATAATGGTAAACATATCAGTTTTGATGGTAAACTGTTAACAAGGGAATTTTCTGGACCGGAAGTAATCTAGCACAGTGTTCGCCTGCTAACTAGCTGTCATCACATGTAAACAATATATTAAATGGGAAAGTATATTGAGATATTTGTTTGACTATCAGTTGAAAATGCAAAATATTAATATGGAAAACATCTATGTGCAGTTTATGTGTGTTGTTTAAATTTGTTTGACTGATATATTAGTTGTAAAAGCCATGTACACTAAGTGTAGCAGTAGCCAGACACATGACGCTTCGTAGCAACAGTTACCACGTTGAAAACGTGAATGGTAACTGAACGAGACATGGCAAAGTGCATGCTTACGCACTGACTTCCGCTCTATCGAAATACTGTATACACATATAGCGAAAGTTCGTAAGTGGTAGGCCAGGTCTAACCAAGGAAATTGCTGAGGAATGTACTATTCGCCATTCTCTTCTGGCCTCTGACAACTAGTGATCATGAATAGTCTGTCCCAGTCTGAAGCAGTAATTCTACAAATGTAACATTGTTTAAATGATTTTGTGAATCAACTAAATTTAATAATTCCATGTGTCAGATCTATGTAAACATATCGTATATTAAAATAGTAGTGAATATCAAGATACATTCAATGGGCATACATAACATGAAAAACATCGAAACATTTTCTATATAATTTGCTTTCCATGTCACGTGTTATCTTTCACTTATTAATTATTTCCAGTTTTCCAGAAATTGACATTAACTTACTTATACAAGTATTTTTCAACCATTTGTGGTTCAGGAAAGCATGACAACATCTGGTTTAATGATTTAACGCGTCCAAATTTTATCTTCAATCAAAAGGTTATCAAATTACTACTTAGATTTTGTAAGAAAAGACTTAATAAATAATGATTGCAAAATTAGATGTTGTTGTTGTTGTCACGTTGTTGATGTTTTGACCGGAAGATAATGGCTAAATATATACCGTCTCGTTATATATCGTCATCGTCGCTACCCTGCTATCAGTAGATTAATATAGAATTGCCACAGTTGGTCTGATTAGAACATTCAATATACCAATAATTGAAAGCAGATTTGCTTTCACCCTTTCATAATTGACATGCACTGCAGTATAAATGCTTTATTTTGTATATTTTAGTAGTTTGATATATTATGGCAAAGTTCGTGATCCATACTGTTTTTTTTAAACAGATTCATTAAAATGTAACAAAGTGACAATTACACATTATTGAATAACGTTAAATAGATCTAGCAATTCATCCCGAGCAAGAATTCTAATAAAACTATCAATCATCCATCTATCCATCCATCCATCATTTTGTCAAAGCCTAACATGTTGAATTTTTACATCTAAACCTACATTATACTGTCTGTGACGATTATAACACGATAAAAAAACGAGCAGAATCGACGTATCCCATACTGCCACTCTTCGATCAGCTAACAGATTTTTCTACAATAACTGACAGTGAAATTATAATAAAAAAATCTCTCTTACAATTCTGCAAAAATCATCATTTCAGCTAATAAATACAATAACTTTTTTGAAATTTTACCTGAATTATTAGTATGTATCGTAGACAAACCATTACTGACCCATTTTCCTGTTCTTGCCACTTTACAATCAGTTAAGAAAATATGTAATGTACCACATAAAAATTGTCATACAATGTTAAAATATAACCAGTTACGTATTTTGAAGAAATTTTGAATTATACAACTTCAGATAAATGGTAATGAACAATTTTAACCTATTTATAATGCCATTTTTCAATTTTGACATCCATTTACAAATTTGTAAATTTGTAAAGTAGTCACAATTGCATGGAGTATGGATGTACATCTCAATTTGAATAACAGAAAAAGCATGTTCTTGTGAAACTTTTTGGATCTTAGGGTCTATATGACCCCCTTCTAGTGACAGCTTACTGAAAAGTTATCAGACAATGTTTTTCTTTGATGTGTTGCAGACTGAAAAAAAAAAACTTAGAATGTTAATCAAATATTTTAAAAAAAATATTGCGATTTGTAACTGGGTAAATCGAGGATTAGTGGAAAACGCATATTTTACATATTTTGAACAAAATTACTGGTATTTTGTTTTTTATCGCCATAATTGACATTGTTGCTGATAAAATTAAAATTTTTCCATATAACAGTAAATCCAACAACACTCTTGCTATGAAGGGAGACAATTATTTTGTATATACTGTTGCTATGAAGTAAAACCACTGAAAATCAGGATTATTCGATAAAATTCGTAGCTATATAAAACTTATACTTCAAATACTTTGTTCTATATATTACATACAGGATGCAAACTGACAAGTCCAAAACATGATTTCACGATAGATAAACTCATTTTTTTTTAACTGAAGCGCTCTAATCATCTGTCAAATTTGACAGCAGACGCACCATCCTAAAAACAAAAAATCTAGTTTTTGCACATAAAAACTTTGTATTTCTTTAAAAAAAAAAGACAAAAAGATACAAAAATACCTGAAAATCATTCTTCTTTGACATTGTTTCTAAATTTCGTCTACAATTCGTGACAATTCATGATCAAGATAGCGACAACTATGGAGGGCTTTCGTTGCCAAATTTCCAGACATGTAAATTGTTCCTTTTAAAAATTACTTTTGAGACTTGTATGCCTACCATTTTTATTGTACCCGTGCAAAGCACATAATATGCCTCTTAATCCAATCTTTTTATTGAAGGTTTCCGCCTGTGTAAACGTACTCTTGTAGTTCTACAACTGGAAACACGTTTTCTTAAAATCTAGTTTCTGAATTTGAGTTTTACATTTCATTTGTAAATTGTAAATTTGTTATTGTTTATTTCCATGTTAAGTCAGTTCTTAAGATTTACATGTAAACTTGTTATTTAAAAGCGGGTGCCTTCAATTAAGAGGCATATTATTTGCTGTGCACGAATACAATCAAAAATGCTATACACGCACATTCGCATTTTCAAAAATAGTTTTCAAAAGGAACACTTTACATGTCTGGAATTTTGGCAACAAACGCCCTCCATAGATCTTTAATATAAGTTCTAAGTTTCGCAAGTCATGTTGAGTGAAATGTTTGCGCATGCTCGACAGGAAGGCGACAGTACGATGGTGACAATACAACAGTACGATGGTGACAGTACGATGGTGAGACAGTACGACAGTAAGATTGACTCTTTCTCCATCATACTGTCGTATTGTCACCATCGTATTGTCGTATTGTCACCACCGTACAGTCGCACTGTCACCATCGTACTTTCGCACTGTCACCATCGTACTGTCGTGTTTCTCTATCATACTGCCATATTGTCACCATCATACTGTCGTACTGTCACCATCGTATTGTCGTACTGTCATTTTTGTACTGTCGTTCTGTCATGATCGTACTGTCGCAGTGTCACCATCGCACTGTCGTGTTTCTCCATCGTACTGTCACCATCATACTGTTGTACTATCATCATCGTATTGTCGTTCTGTCACTGTCGTACTGTCACCATCGTTCTGTCATGTTTTGCGCTTTCCGTTTTCAGAAGAAAAAAAACGCTGTCCCTAACGGAACACCGTGCTATTTATGTTTTGACATGTTTATCGTCAAAACTTGTACAATATGTTCTAATGTTAAATGAAATAAAATTTAACAATTTAGAAATAAAAGATGGATGCTATACCCATTCTGTTGTACTTTTATCACGTCAGTAACGTTGTGATGACGTCATAATAATAGTCTAATTTTCTGACGTAACTTATCATAGAAACGACGTTCCGCAACATTAGATATCAACACGTAACGGTATGTAGATGCGTTTTTTATTATCAATAAGATTTTTTTTCTTTAGACGTTTTACAGAAAGTTTTGGTCAGTAAAGAGATTCAAAATGTTACAAAACTTAATTATAAGTTTAAATGATCATTTTATTTACTTATTTTTCGTTTTCTCGCTTAGCTCGTTTGTGATAAAGCTTAAACACAACAAATTCCACCCATTTTCAATTCCGCTTTCTCGCAAAATGGTTATGACTTCATTATGACTTGGATACCACTATCTCTTTATAGATTTAGAAAAGACATGGTAACAACAAAGTGTCCTGCCACTCTCAAATTGTGAAAATTGATTTGATTTCTGAACAAAGATGATCGAAAATCTTGAATAAATTGTTGTTTTTTGTTTGTTTTGTTTTTTTAATTTTTGTGAGCACACTAATGTATGAAAATCTTGTTACAGTGAATTATGAATAGATTAACAAGAAACGATTTCAAAGCTCATTCAAGAATGGACAAAGTTTGTTCATCAAAAAGGACAAAGTCGATATGTGGCACACATAGACGACAAGATTCGCAAAGAAAATTGTCAAATCGCAGAAAAGGTAAGATTTTTAAGAATTCTGATTACATATTTTATTATATTCATATAAGATTTATTATAATCTCATAACAGTTAAAGGTATTTAAGTCCATTTGAATCATGAATTAATCATGGACAGTGATATCTGTAACTTTGAATTCTATCTAATTTTTTAAAAAGACTCTGACTGTTTTCAGTTGATTTCAATGTCAACGTAAGTAAACCCTTTTTTGTCATGAAACCCTTTACACAAAGATCTTATACCCCGGTCACATATTCACGGAATACGCCCACGGAAGAGCCACGGATTAATTCCGGCATCGTCCGTAGCTACCCGTACTGGTCAGTAGCTCTCCGTATTGTAACCGTAATCAATCGTAGTAGTCCTTGTATATCCGTAGCGATCCTTGACAATTTTTGAACATGCACAAAAATTTGCTACGGAAAAATCAACCGTAGCGTATCCCTACTAGTCCGTATTAATCCGTACTGATACGTACTGGTCCGTACGAAAACCGTAATAGTCCGTACTGATTCGTAGTCCACCAACTTGTCAAGGATTTCCACGGTTTGGTACGGAGAACTACGTATTTGTACGGTTTCCCTACGTACAAGCCACGGTTTTAATACGGATTAATACGGCATTGTCACGGAAAGCCACGATCGTAATACGTTGTACTACGGAGAGGCAAGGATTAGCACGGTCTTATACGGTTTATTGCGTTGCAACACGAAACGGTACGGAATGGTACGGCCCACCACTGTTTAGTACGGATGAATTAAGTATCATGTACTTTTTCAAGGGTATAAATACTTACTTCTTGTTAAAAACAGACATATACATTTGCAGGAACATTAAGTAAATTATAATTGCCATTTACAGGCTGCGACTTTATATTGAAATGGCTCAGATTGCGGAGGCAGTGGTCGAGCTGCTTGATGACATGCATAGAAGTAAATTTATATTAATATCGTACTTTAATTCATAAGAAATAGAATAACATTTAATGTTACATATTTTACAAACATTAGATCGTGAAAATGGGGTAAATATGTACATAAAACGAAGTGTCTCATAAGCCTCGGACACTGGCCCTTGAGTGATAATAAGATAAATTAACAAGCTTTTTACATATTTCTAAAACATAAACATCACAATAATTAATGTAATTGTAAGATAAACAGCAAATCTTAAAATTAAAAGAGAAGCAGTATTGATCAACATTTTGCATTAATGATTACTAGTCCATATCTAATCAGGTAAGAGAAGACAGACTATATGGTGGACTAGAGATGGGCTTTTACGAAGACCGCTTCATGTTTAGTATAAGGCTCTCATGGCCGAACTTGTTGAGGATCCAGCGTCCTTCAAGAAATTCACTTTAATTGGACCTGATGTGTAACGGGGTTCGGACGCGATAAGGCTGAATCCTCTCCGCCAAAATCATTGAACGCTGTATTTCGTTTTTCTAGGTGTTCCTTTCTTTTGAGGCATTTTGAAAATGAGCAAGCAAGAGGTTGTGGGCGGATGTATTAGGTCCGTATAGATCCGTGGCAATTCGTTCTTTTCCGTATCAATACGTTCTTCTCCGTATCAGTCCGTACTTATTCGTACTAACCCGTGCTTATACCGTAGCAGACCGTAGTGTATCCGTAGCGCGTCCGTCCTGATTCGTGTCGCTCCGTATCGAACCGTGCCGGTCCGTAACAATCCGTGTCGCTCCGGGGGCTTTTAATGGTAAATCCGTCGGACTCCGTACACATACCGTTGTAATTCCGTACTTGAACCGTAGCAGACTACGGAAATTCACATTTCCGTAGTAATCCGTGAACGATTAGACCGTAGCTCTTCCGTGGCATTATCCGTGAATATGTGACCGGGGCATTATACCAATACAGCTTACGGAATGTTACATTATAATTTGCTTTATTTTTACAATTTACAGGAAAGAAATCTACATACGTCTTTGACTTCCTTTTCAATCCTGTTTATATAATGTTGTTGTATCATAATTGTATATGTTTGTATTATATGAAATAAATACTGTTTAAACCAATACAGCTTACGGAATGTTAGTTGTAACAAAGACATGTTGGCTAAAGTAGTAATCATGTCTTAAATTACTTTCCAGTTAAAAGTTTTGTGGAGAGAACATAGTCAATCGCAATTTTTCGGCCGTTTTTGTCAAACTTCATTTAATCACAGAGGTGTTCCGTTTGGAACATTGCATCATCACAAGTTGTTTAATTACGCTTCTTATTCTTTATATTATCAGCGGATGATAAGACCTCACAGAAGAAAAGGCGAAGTAAGAGCGCTTTACCACCACAAGGTCAGAGGAGGTCGATGCCACAAAGACAAAGTCAAGTTGGACAGCGCAAAAGACGCACAGTAGGACATAATAGTTCTAGAGCTGAAATAAGAAACCAGGCTGCTTATGGTAAATCAATTTGAAACCATTTATTTGATTTCTACATTTTTAAGACTTTGCAAAAATGTTTAAAATAATTAGAACAATAAAGCACCGACGACTGTTAATGCTTTGGTATTAAACTTGAACTGTTTTGTACAATATAACATTTTGATGAACTTATAAGAGTGGTAAGACGTGTATTTATACATTTGGTATCATCACTTGCGGGATAAGTAAAAAGCTATGTTATATAATGCTTTAGTTAACGGGCCTTTTATTATTTTCCTTCTTTTTTTCTTCCAGAGTTGAAGATGCACCTCGAAGATAACTATGACTGCGTGCACCATACAAATAGTTTAAGAAAATTTTCCAAAGAACACGTTTTTAAACGTCAGAATACAAAAGTGCCAGAAAAAGCCTTTCCTCTGCAGGAACCAAATTTAAAAAGGTATCAAGTTTTTTGCAAAGATACAGTGTGTTTATATATTTTGTACTTTTAATAATTGATCATCAAGATTATTTTCTATCAGAATATTGAAATCAATGTTGCCGTGTTTTAAACAGAGATACTTTACAAATAAATGGTGCAAAAAGAAAGAGTGTTTAATATTAAGCATGTCATAATTTAGGATGGAAATTCACTGACATTGCATGTTTGTCACAATTGTTTGATTATATTTTTTATGTTGAACAGGGACGATCGTCAAGCAGACGACATCCAGTGCCAACCCACGAAACAGCAGACACCAGACAGCCAAATTATGAAATCTACACAACATGACAACCTAGACAAGAACATTTCAGATATCTGCCCAAAGTCACAATCTACTTGCACTCGGCAAATCAGTGAGAAGTTGGTGAAAGAAGATATAAGAAATGAGTTGGCAGACAAGAAGAAAATAAAGAAAGGATTTTTCACCAGCGCATATCGCGCTGTTCTTGCTTGTTTTGAAATTAAAAGTGGAAGAAAATAAAAAAAAAACTTCATTCGTACATTTTCAAAATTGCGCTCAATAAATCTTTTTTGTTTTCTAATAATATATGATTCACTTTTGTTGAAGTAAACTTTATTTTTTTTACAATTGTCTAAGTTTTGTTTTCTTTGATGTTTTATGAAAATAAATGTACAGACATGCTGTATATATACATATTTATAAGATGTAATGATTATCAAGGTTTCCATTAAATGCCTAAACATTGAGGTATTCTTTTAATGTAACTGGCAAAGAAATTGCCAATCTATTACTGACAAGTTCAAGCATATAAAAGTTACGTCACTGAAAATGCAGAAGCTCTGATGGGCTGTGATTTGAAACCTTTGGACTCTGGAAATGAAAACGAGGCTAAATTGATAAGATTGGAACCAATAATGATATATTGTGCAAATGCTGAAAGTGCATTGGTTATATTATATAAGGTGTGAAATAAAGCATATATATCGACTGTCATTGTGTAGCATAGATGTAAACACACACGCACGCACACGCACGCACACACATACGCCCGCTATCTGGTCATGTCTACAAAATAATCTTACTGGTGAATATTGTGTGTTTTTCAAAAAGTTGAATAATTTATGAGGACTTGAATATTGATTCAATAATAGCTTGAAACAAGAAAAGATAATTTGTATTAACCATTTGCTGTGCAAGTCGTGATCAGTGTGTGAGTAATGAACAGTGAGTAGTTTTCATTGTGTTATACATGTAGTACTCAGAACTGAGTACTTAAAGCATTTAAAGTACTCACAAATAGCTATTCACAGCAAAACTTCTAACTTAAATTTAGTAGTTTTGCTGTGAATAGTTATTTGTGGGTACTTTAAATGCACATTATGCCAATTAAACATTTAATTCTTTGGAAAAGGCAAACTTGAGTTCTAAAAATTTAATATTACGATTTTGTAGCATGTTAGATGTTACCATAAGTAAACAGTGCTTAATTTGAAACTATTTTAATAAAGGTAACAAAATGTAAACAAAGAGGTATTTTGTCTTCCATATAAAATATCATTTCACTATAATTGTATTAATTGCCAGAAAAAAGAAGAAAGAAAAAACAGAAGAAAAAGATGGTTTGTGTAATTGTCCAATGAGTAAGTTTTTTTGGAAAGTTTAAAAGTGCACCAGGAAAGGCTTTTGAAACATAAAATTACAAAAAATATTTCTGGGGTATACAATGAGTAGATAAGTGTGTCAGTAGTTATATGTGAGTAATATTCACAGCTCTGAGTAATGCTAAATTTGTGATAACTATTTACTGTGTACCGTGAGTTACGTTCACTGTATGAATAGTGTTCAGTGTGTCTTGTCTGTGTAGTGAGTTATGTTCACTGAATGAATAGTGTCCAGTGTGTTTTATCCATGTAGTGGTAGTGAGTTATGTTCATTAAATGAATAGTGTCAAATGTGTCTTGTCTATGTAGTGAGTTATGTTCACTGAATGAAGTGTCCAGTGTGTCTTGTCCATGTAGTGGTAGTGAGTTATGTTCATTAAATGAATAGTGTCAAATGTGTCTTGTCTATGTAGTGAGTTATGTTCACTGAATGAAGTGTCCAGTGTGTCTTGCCCATGTAGTGAATTATGTTCATTAAATGAATAGTGTCAAGTGTGCCTTGTCCGTGTAGTGAGTTATGTTCCCTGAATAAATAGTTTCCAAAGTGTATTGTCCATGTCGTGAGTAACGTTCACTGAATGAATAGTGTCCGGTGTGTCTTGTCCGTGCTGTGAGTTATGTTCACTCAATCAATAGTGTCCAGTGTGTCTTGTCCGTGTAATATGTTATGTTCACTAAATGAAAAGTGTTAAAGTGTGTCTTGTCCATGAAGTGAGTTATGTTAACTGAATGAATAGTTTCCAGTGTGTCTTTTCATTGTATTGAGTTTTGTTCATTGAATGAATAGTGTTCAATGTGTCTTGTCAAGGTAGTGAGTTATGTTCACTGAATAAAAAGTTTTCAATGTGCCTTGTCCATATAGTTATTATTGTTCACTAAATGAAAAGTGTTCAGTGTGTTTTCTTCATGTATTAAGTTATGTTCAATGAATGAATATTGTTCAGAGTGCTTAATCCATGTAATGAGTTATGTTCACTGAATGAATAGTGTTCAGTGTGCCTTGTCCATGTAGTGAGTTATGTTCAATAAATGAATGGCTGTCAGTGTGCCTTGTTTATGTAGTGAGTTATTTTCAATGAACGAATTGTGTCAAGTGTCTCTCATCTGTTTAGTGAGTTATGTTCACTGTATAAATAGTTTCCAGTGTGTCTTGTCCGTGTAGTGAGTTATGTTCACTGAATGAATAGTGCCCTGTGTATCTTGTCCGTGTAGTGAGTTCTGTTTACTGAATGAATATTGTCCAGTGTTTCTTGTACGTGTAGTGGGTTATATTCATTGTATAAATAGTGTCCAGTGTGTCTTGTCCGTGTAGTGAGTTATGTTCACTGAATGAATAGTGTTCCCTGAATCTGTCCATGTAGTGAGTAATATTCTCTAATTGAAAAGCGTAACGTGATTTCGGTCCATGTAGTGAGTTATGTTCACTGAATGAATAGTGTTCACTGAATCTCCATGTAGTGAGCTATAATCATTTATTGAATAAACGTTACGTGATTTCTGTCCATGTAGTGAGCTACGTTCACATAATGAAGAGTGTTCAGTGTTTAGTTTATTCAAGCTTTTTTTCTATAAATACAGGATTTATTTTCATCGAGTGGTATGAAAATAAATATTTCATGAATAGCAGAAAAAGATTAAAATAAATCCCAAAAATACTTTTTCTCTTTTTTTTTTACCTTATAGTTTGAAAGAATTCCCTTCTATAATTTTGTGTATTGGCTGAATTTATAAGAAAAGAGTCCGGCAAGACACAAGTGAAAATACGGAAAATATGTTTCACAGCAGTGAAAATTAAAATTTCTAAGGTGAAAATACAGAAAATGAAAATATGCTTTTTATGTCATCAATATTTCTCAATATTTCATTTATACGTAACAGTGAAAATACCCATTCTGTTATATTTTCATCACGTCAGTAACGTTGTAATGACGTAATCATTAATTTTCTGACGTAACGTGTCATAGAAACGACGTTCCGCAACAAGACGGTATGTGGATGTTTTTATTTTATAATCATTATTTTATTAATATTAATTCCTTTAACCGAATGTTATGGTCAGAAAAGTGTTTTAAAATGTTACACAACTAATTAAGTTTCAATTATCATATTTATTTTAGCTCGTTTGTTAATTGATCAATTCTCAATGTCCGCTTCCTCACATGGTTATGACATGAAAAAATGAAACAATATTTTCTATTCTTAATCAGACAATAATATTTAAAAAATAAAACAAATACGTTGAATAAATTAATTTGTTGTGAGCACAATAACTGAGTATAAATAATATTTTGTTACAGTGAATTATGAACAGATTATCAAGAAACGACTACAAAGCTCACTCAAGAATGGACAAAGTTTGTGCATCAAAAAGGACATGGTCTTTATGTGGCGCACATAGAGGACACGATTCCCAAAGAAAAATGTCAAATCGCAGAAAAGGTAAGTTTTGAAATAATTCTTATATTTTTCAAAAGTTATTGTTCATTTGAATTATGCATGAAACAGCGAGAGTGTTATTCGTAACTCAGAAAACTATAACTTATTATGATTGACCATCACTTGGGCCCATGTCTACAATGTCACATGAACCTTTGCCATGAGAGTCTGGCCCTGCCTAGATTGCGTATCGAATGCTTACTGTATTTTTGAAAACGAAACCACAGCTGATGTACTACAGCTGATGTTATAAAACTTGACAACTTATCAGTAATAATTTGTCTTACAAGGTAATGTTACACTGTAACCCGACCTTTCGGTTCCCTCCCATAAACGAGGTACTCCAAATTGAACATTGTACTATCAAAAAGGTCTTCATTAAATATTAATATTTTATATTTTTCTTTTTTCTTAACAGCTGATGATAAGACCTCACAGAAGAAAAGGCGAAGTAAGAGCGCTTTACCACCACAAGGTCAGAGGAGGTCAATGCCACAAAAACATGGTCAAGCTGGACAGCGCAAAAGACGAACACACGGACATAATAGTTCTAGAGCGGAAATAAGGAACCAGTCTGAATATGGTAAATATTTAATTTTGGAACAACTTGTCCAATAACTAAGATTGATTATACAGGTAGTCGAGAAGTTACAAAAATGTTTGAAAATAAGACACCAAAGACAACCGCTTACAACTGCTAAAGTATAAATTATTTATTTTTAAAATGATAATGACTTATATCAAACTTATTAACCTGTCTAGCATTGTTATGATATTTTATTATCGAACCTGATTTCAAAGCTTATACAAAATGGAAAAAGTTACAAGAGAGATTTATATGTCATTTGTGTATTTTTTTGCAAGCAATGTATTTACAGATCTAGTATAATCACGTGTGGAGTAAAAACTATTGTTGTATTACGCTTTAATTGTCTCTTACTTTGATGTTTTATCCAGAGTTGAAGATGTATCTCGACGAAAATTATGACTGCGTGCAACATACAAACAGAAATAAAAGAGAAACTTCCAAAGTACCCGCTTCACAATGGAATGATACAAAAGTGTCAGAAGATGTTTCACCAAAGTGCCAACCGAAGTTAAAAAGGAAGGGTAATTCTTTGCAAAGATATACATTTTTTTTTTTCCCTAGCCTCCATTAGTGTCAAATATTGACCATCATTTTTTTCATGTGTATATTTGAAATGAACACTTTTCTGTTTAAGATTAAGGAAAATGATTTACCAATTATTTTTTTAAATGTTAAATATTAAACATATTAAAATTTACGATGTAAATTTTTGTAACAGTAATATTGCATTTTTTCATAAAAGTCGTTATTATTTTTTTACTTTAAAAACAGGACCCGATCGACAAGCGGGACGACCCCCCCAAGTGCCTACCCGCCAAACAGCAAAAGGTTCAAAACACCCCAAACTTTAAAATCACAAAAAAAAACCCAAAACTTAGACATGGGCATTACAGATATCTGTCCAAGGTTACAAGCTACTAGCACTCGGCAAATCAGTGAGAAGTTGGTCAAAGAAGATGTAAGAAATGAGTTGGCAGACAAGACGAAAATAAAGAAAGGATTTTTCACCAATGCCTATCACACATTTCTTGCTTGTTTTGGAATTAAAAATCATAGAAAATGAAATGATTATTCGGAAATTGGTAAAGAATGCTCTCAGTTTACTAATTTTGTTTTTAAATCACAAAATTTAAATGATTTATTTTGTTAACGTACATGTAAAGTAAATTTGATCTTTTTAAAAATGTCTTAGTTTTGTTTTCTTTGATGTTTTGTTGAAAAAATGATAATTCAACGTTATAATTTTTATGACTTGATGAAGTACGTTAGCGGGAAGGTCATAATTATTAGCGGAAAGGTCATGATCACACAAAGGTCAAAGAGAATGTTTTACTATAATGTTTTTTATTTGTACATTTTGAGTCATTCATATAATTTCCCTTGAAAAGAATAGGCCATGACCTATAGAAAGCTACGTCCTTGCGTATAGTTTCTAACGTTGGTGTCAAAGATATCTCGACTCTTTTATCTATCTGTGACGAATATACCTAGGCTAAGTAAGAAACGACGGTCTGTCACATTTCTAATATTAATTACTTGCATTGTTTCTTACTTCTGAGGGATCTTTCCCATCATTTTGGTATTAGTAATACTGACTAGTTACTAATTGGAGCCGAAATGAGATGTTCCAACGGCTGTGTAAAGAAAACTTTTGTTCGGCCGTCAGCAAGACTTCCTCTCAGAGGAAGGACACGCCCTGAATATATGAGCCGTGTCACGAAAACCACGCCAAAATGCTGTTTTGCGACCCAGCAATGGTCCCAGACCGAGCCCTGCGCATCCCGCGCAGTTTGATCAGGACCCATGATGTTCGCTTACAAACCCTATTTAACAAGTAGAGAAACTGATAGCGACAGCACTGGATTCCTTGATCAGACTGCGCGGAATGCGCAGGCTGGTTCCTTGGATCCATGCTGGTCTCAAACCACTTTGTGGTTTTTGCAGTGACACGGCTCATACTGTAAAAACATTCATTGGGTCATATCTTAATATTCTTGAATCTAATTTGGTCACACGTAACATAAAAGATATATCATCTCTTCGATGGTATATCGGTGCTAATTTTTAATTGCATCCTAAAGAGTCGGAAATCATGAGTTTACTTTTACCATCAAGTACTTGATTTCTGGTTAACCTGCCTTCTCACATGACACATTGCTAGATGTTCTAATTGCCATGCAATCGCACCACCTAAGATAGTATAATAACTAATGTTACAAAAATATTATTAGATTAGACGGTGACAGCACTAAATGGCGTATCCACGCCATTTAAAACTTATTTAACACATGAATGTGCGCAGTTTACATAGGGTGGGTTTTGGAACTTGTTGCATCTCCACATGATGGTTGTTATATGTGCTTTAGAAAAAGGAAAACATCTGGTTAACACGGAAATGTGAAGTTGATTTTACATAACCCTCCCCCCCTCCACAAAGAAAGCGAAGGATATGTTCAGTATGTTGGACAATTTGGACCCACTATAAATTGTTCTTGTAACTACACTAGGGTGATCTGTCAATGTGCACAGCTCTACAACAGAAAAAGTATCTTTCGAATTTCCAATCCTTGCTTTCACCCAGGCTAAACCAATGAGACGTCTTGGCAAACGTGCATCTCAACTCGAAATGTTCGACGTTTAAAAGAGGACAATTTCGATCGTTAAAGAGTTCGAAATCTCGACACGCAGAAACCGCGAATTTCGAGATAATAACTCGAATTCGATGTTAGTAATCGAATTTCGGAGAGTTAAGTCAACTTTCGAAATTTCGAGATAAGTAAACTCGATATTTCGAGTAAGTAAGTCGAAATTTCGAGTTAGTAACTCGAAATTTCGAGTTAATAAAAAACATACACCTGGCACTAATGCTCTTCCGTATAAAAATGATAGAAGATAACGAAAACAACAATTTATCAGATATATAAACAGATTTTTGGTATAAATATACCCTCGTTATCTTCTGGTAAAACATATTATTGCCTGATCATAAATAAATATGATAATACTTTAATTTTTTTGATAAAATATAATTTTTTATGACTTTGACTTTGTGTGGGTAGCAAAAATAGATTAAACTTTAGCAGCGGACAGTGCTTACAAATTTGTAAGCTGAATCAAACAACCTGCTGAATTTGTGAAATGGACTTTCCAAGCTTCTATTAGCATTGTTCATTATCAATAAGGATTGTTGATTGTGTTGGTTCATGTCCAATCCAGTAAAGAGCAAGCCGTGATTTCCTTAAGCAAGAAACTTTATACTCATTGCTTGAAACCGACACCGTATTATCGGCGCCAATGATGACAGATTGCTGGAGTTTCAGAAAGAAATTGATAAAAGAGTGATATTGATTTTCTGTCAGAATGTACGCCACTTTCAGAGGGTTTCTGTCATCATCGGCAACCTCGAAAATACATTTCTGCCAACAGCATGTTAGTGCATATATAGGTAGCATTTTTACTTCCAGCGGGCTATTCTCAAGAAACGGCACACTGGGTTTTATTTATAATATTTTGCGTGCGTTACCGCAAGTAATGGTTGTTAACGTGTATCACACGAAATCTCTTAATTGATTTCAAACTTTATACATTTTGAACATAAAACAACCATTTTCCGGGAATTTTTCCTAAGCTGTCAATTATAGCCCGCTAAAGATATTTTATGTAATGGGAAAACGAGACTAAAATTACCGTATAGTATCTCAAGTCAACAGACAGCAAGTCTGTACCAATGAAATTGACCTTTCTTGCTAATTCAGATATACTAACCAAGTTTATAACCATCCCGTATATAGTAATCGGTAAAATTAATATTTCTGTCATCAGCGGTGTTTTCACTTCGACTAGGCTAGTTTGGACGCTTGTAACATTCTCAAGAAAATACACATTCGATTGATATTTTGTATGCGTAACCGTACAGGATGGTTGTTCATGTGTACAACACGAGATACCCTAATATGTTTCAAATGTGATACATTTTGAACATAAAACAATCATTTTTCGAGATATTTCAGAAGCTGTCATTTAAAGCCCGCTCAAAATATTTTATGAAATAAGGAAACGAGGCCAAAATTAGCGTTTAGTATCTCCAGTCAATGGTGAGGAAGTCTATAGGAAAGGAAATGACTTTTTTGCATAATATAAATATTCCAACCAAGTTTATAACCATCCTGTAGACATGTTGTTTGCATACAAAAGTGTCATCGGGCGTCTGTTTGTTTGTTTGTTTGTATGTTTGTTTCATTTTACGCCTTTCCCAACAGTATTTCAGTCATAAAGGCGGGTAGTTTCCTAACCATCGTTCCTGGAGAGGATACCAGTACTAGACTACCTTCCTCTACCAAAGCATCTCCCGGGGATCGAACCCACTCCAGAGAGGTAACTGGATTAGAAGTCATCGACTCTAACCCCTCGACCACGGAGGCGGGCGTCTGTAACCAAGCGGTTAAGGTAGTTGACTTCAAAACACTTGCTCCTCACCTCTGTGGGTTTGAATCCCGTCATCGACTTTGGATTATTTCCTGTTACGGAAAAGCGGTGAATCTATTCAAGTGCCCGTTGGTCCCTGGAAGGAGACATTAAGTCTTCCCCCACAATGTAAGCTGGAAAGCTGCCATATGACCTTTACGGTTTTGGTGCGACCAACTAATATTGTTGCGCAAATTTCAAGAGGCCATTGTTAAAATATTACCACTGCAAAGACTGTTTTACGTTTTAATGTGTGTATTTAAGTACTAAACTTATAATATCTTCAATTATAATAATCTTCAAGATGGTTCAAATACCTCATTTGATTGCACGATTGTTAATACCATTAACATTATTATACGCTAAATGTGTAAAACTTACGCATGTCAGACATATGTTTTGTATAGTTAAGCTTTAAATTTTAGTTCTTTGCAATTGTTAAATCTTCTTAAAGATATTGCTTATAACATAGATTTATTGCGGATACAATTGCTTTAATAGGTTATGTCTACCGTTTTTAAAGAGTTCGTAGCCAATAAATATTTTTTCATTTATTCCATTTTCATTTCAAATCATACAGTATTATCTTATATTATGCTTATCTTTAAATGTCTGTTAATATTCGTATAGGTTCTCCTCGTAGAAATAAATTAGAATGATTAACTGCGTTTTTGACATTTTCAGTTATCTCTTTTAAAACCTTCTTTAATATAAGTACATTTTCATTCGAGATGCGATTCATTTAAATTGCATAAACACCTGTGTCATGCTTAAGCAGAAAAAGTTAAAATCATGCTTGAAGGGCTGTGCATGAATGCTTTTAAAAACTCGTTGGAACAGCTTCGCAGGCTTGGATATTTTGATAAAATTGAATCATTTAGTGCAGTGCGTTCTTCTAATAAAATCATGAAATCGTACCTAACAAAAGGAAATTGAATTCCACTGTAGAAAAAAACATAACACGTACGAACAGGGTGGTTTAATTTGTTTGAAAGCATACGTTTCTACAATATTTGTATATTCCAGTTTATGAAAAAGAAAGGGAGAAAGAAATAAT